CCACCCTGAGCACAAGTGTGGCCATCTCCTCGCCCCCCGCAGAACGACTGAGATCGTGCCTGTCATCCCTGCATGTGCCTGTGATCCTGGCACATGGGTGGGAGGGGGGAGATGGGAGCGAATGGGGCACACTGGGGGAGGGAGAGATGGGTGTGATCTCAGCCATCTCTCCCCCCTCCCTCTGCATGATTGCAGCCATCTCCCCACTCAGGGGGGTGGGGAGATGGCCACAATCGTGCTGGTTGAGGGGGGGAATGGCCGAGATTGCACCCGTCTTCTCTGCAGGAGCACACCCGTGATCATGCACGTCTTCTCAGCACGAACGCAACTGCAATCAAGACCATCTCCCCACTCGGGGGGGAGGGGAGAGGCTGTGATCTTGGTCACTACCCAATGTGGAGTTCGCAACCCAAGTCAAAATTTTCATGAAATTTTTGTTCGCAACCCGATTTAGTCACGAACCAAGGCGTTCGTGAGCTGAGGTACCACTGCAAAATGCATATAGGATACATGCACAAAGATTGGTATGAATTTTCATGCAAACTTTTACAAACCTAAAATACTCAAGATTTGGGAACTTAAGAATAGCAGAGGAAATCTCGAAGTACAGGCTACACTGAATTTAGGATGGGATAAAATAGAAACTGAAAGAAACCAGGTCACGTCAGCCTCGGAACAACTTTACTGCCTTTGGGCACAATCCTGTGGCCTGCTGACATAGGGGAGAGACCTAGCTGCAGCCTTGAAAAAACTCCAAGGTCAGAGCTGGAACGTTGACCTTGCAAAGCCCTCACTCATGCCTCCAAACTGTCTTTTGGAGGGGGCATTCTGGGGACAGGAAGAAGAGGAGCAAGAACTGCTGTCCTCAAAGATATCTCAGTGGTGCCTGAACCTCTCCTCCTTGCAAGGAATGGCAAAATAGGCGGCTGAAAGGAGCTGTCAGTATCTTGGTGGCCAAAGGAAGCACAGAAGAGATCCTACCCTCCGTGCTGTCTCCACTGGATACCCCAAATCCTCTGAGTTTGGATGGTTATGGGGAGCCACAATAGATGGTTGTGCTCCATTGTACTGGGTACCATTCAAGGTGTTGATTTTGATCTACACAGCAATAATGGTCTGGGGCCTGGATATCCGAAGCACTGTCTCCTTGCATATGAATCTGCCCAGAATGTACAGTCATCATCAGAAACCCTGTTATATATCCCACCATGCAGAAAGGCTAGGTAGGTAAGTATTCAAGCCAGGGCCTTCTTCTGAGCAACACCCCCAGTTGTGGAACTCTCTCCCTTAACCCCTTCTTTATTTTGTTTAGGTACTTGCAGTAAAGAGGATTTTTTTTGTTGGGCTTTTCATGTCATTTAATGTTCTGTCAGCCTTTTAATTCTTCTCTTAAATTGTGTGTGTTATTGTTTGCTCCTGTCTTTGTTTTCTGTGAACTTCTAGTGAGTTCATTGCACGTCACCTTAGGCTCCTGTAAGGTAGATGATATGATTTATAAATATAATAAAAACACAACAGGTATTATAGTATTATGGAAACCTGTGTGCAGGATTTGGAGGAACTTGCTGCTATTATCTACCTTCAGGCCAGCTCTTGCTATTTATAAAGCAGCAATTTATCTGTCGTTGATACAGCCCTGGCAATCGTCCAGTTCTGCTGTTCACTACTAGATGAGAATGCATTGCCTTGCAGTAAACATACGCATCAACTTGCATGTGCAAAGTGGACACCAGGCATGATGGATCAGCAACCACAGAGCACTTTCTTCCTCTGGGATCCAGTAGCTTCTCTCCTCCAAGCCAAAGTAGCTTCATTCTGCTTGTTACACCCAGGATTCCCATGTGCAAATACACAAATAAGAATCTGAGGTGCAGGAGAAGGGGCTAAAATTAACTCCTGACTTAAACACTCCAAATCTGCTCAATGCCGTTTTAAGCAACATCGCAAATTAAGACGTCTTCCCTGACTAAGCCTGTGGCAACGTGCAAGCTGTCACAGCTCTGGAGTCCAAATCCCCATCTCAGGCCCAAGGCTGAATCTTCTTTCATCCTGGGCTGGGGGTGGGAGACTGTGTCAGAAAGGTCCACCTGTCTTAGCATCTTGTAACAATGCTCCACCCAGCACACCCTGGGTGAAAACCGAAGCGGGAGGCACAATAGCACAACACTTGAGTACTTCAGGGAAACTCTTGGCTCAGAGATAGGGATAAGTGTTAAGATCGGCAGCCTGAAAGATTACCTCCCAAGACAAGCAAAGGTATTGAATCTCAAAGCAGAAGCTGAACCTGGCTTAGAATACATTCCACAGGCATCTCCTTCAGTTAATGAACCAAGCTTGGGTGCGTTCTGGCAAACTCTGAGACTAGAAGGACAGTATTCTTAAAGACAACAGACAATGGAGAATCCCTGTAATCCTCAGGTATGCGTTTCCAATTATTCGTTCACCATGCTATGATTGTGATGACAATGTGGGTCTTTATTGTGTGGCCTTGATAGTTAGTTTTGGTGACACCTTATTCTGGAAATACAGAGAAACCAGATTTAGCTGTGTATAAACTATATAAAGCAGCAACTGATAATGGAGAGATTGTGTTTTAATTGCTAAAATAAGGCCAGAATGGGATGTTTTGTATGTGTGCAAGTGCATACATGTATGTGTGTAACATGCGTCATTTGTATGTCTTGCCATTTGTATTTTCAAAGTTGTGCCCATATTTGAGGACAGCAATTTTGCCTCTTTGGACAACACTTTGCGATGAGTGTTCCGTGTCTGAATTTTATTTTGCAGCCATTATGCTCTTAACTAGAAAAGTACATACTACTAGTTGGGCCTTTCCCCTTGGAGCATTCAATAAGCCATCAGAGGCAGGGAGGGGTGAGCATATTATTATGAGGCCTATGACAATCTGCACAGATTGAATAATTTGCAGTCTACAGATATTAAAAGCAAAATTATGATCTGCCAGAACCTCGGGAAACAAAGTTTCTCAAATGGGGTCAAAGTAGGGTAGAATTGATGCCTTGAACACAGCAAGCTGGAAGATAGGAAGCAGCCTTAGACAGAGTCAGAGCCTTGCTCCATATAGCCCGATATTGCCAACACTGGCTGGCAGCAATGGCTTTCCAGGGTTCCAGGCAGGATATTTTTTCCAGCCCAATCTGGACATGCCATGGAGGGAAGATGGGACCTTCTGCACAATGAGCAGGTACTCCAGCACTGACCCATAGTGGCCTAACACCTGGTCAGATCCCAGTTGACTGTGGCTTCTCAAGGTCTTACAGGCCTTGTCTGAGCATAAAACACAATGGGTGCAGCCTTTTGGCAACTCCAGAGTAGGACATTTGGCCTTTGAGCCACTCTGAGTTGAATATGTAGGTGGTGGAGTGGAAAAACCCGGGGAGGCTAGTATCAAGTAGGCACGTCATAACAGCAAAATCCTCCTTGAGTATCCTTACAAGTAAGTCCCATTGGTTTCAGTATGATGTACTCCCAGATGCTTTGGCCTACACTCCCAGCATGCCTCATATCACCAGTTGTCCTGGCTGGGGCTGAAGGAATTGTAGGCCAGAACATCTGGCTGCTCACCCCGAACTAGAAGTTTTGAAAGCAACTGCACTAAATGGAGCCAAATCCTTGATTTCCCTCAGTTGTTCACTTTGTTCATATGGTGATTATCAATCTGCGTGGGCGATCTTCTGAGTAATTGTAACCTCACCAGATAACCCATTCCCACCACATTGCTCTCACAAATAGCTTACTATTTCATATTATATATGCCAGACTCTTGTTTTTAGTTTATGGCTAACCCAGAGAATTCTGACTAGTGGCTTTGATCAAGGAACAAATCTGTCTCAAGTACTGCAGACCTTTAAAAAGCTGACTGCAGTTTGACATACTCCTTCTGGAGCTCCAGTGAACACAGCACTGGCCATTGGCTTCCCAAGTTGATTTGCCAGCCCAGCCCTAACTTTTGGCAGAGTAAAGAGACTTCCGCAGGCAGGAGATGCCTCAGCCCTCTGGCCTCTCTCCCGAGCCCCCTCTTCATTCTCCTCTGTTGAGGGACAGGGCTTTGTGTGCTGTGCCTAGGGGAACCGAACCAGGGCTGGCCAAAGACACTATACTTCCCGAGGCAAAAAGGGAAATGCTGCTCTCCTCCCATCCACCCCCACTCCCAGTTTCAGATACAGAGGCCAGCAAGCCTGGAATTTGGATCTTACTGCAACATCGGTGAGGGAACAGTGTCCCTCATTGCACCAGAGGGTGCCACACACCTTCTGAGGGAGTGTGGGGCAGGCTGTGCACTACACAGCATTGTCCTCCAACAGAGGAGTGTGGCTGGGAGAGGGACTGGGGAGGAATAGCTCGGAGGCTACTGCCACTTCCTCAGCACACCACTCACAGGAACTCAGGCCTTGCTGGATTTCACCAACACCCTGTGTGCATTAAAAGTTTACCCCAGAGCATTCCTAAGACAGCACTCTTAGTAAATGGTCAAAGGCGATCAGTTTGGATGTTCAGGTTGTTTTTCAAAGAACCCTGACTGCCCTTGCTGATTCCTCAAAGACAATACCGGATAACCTTCAAGGAACCCTTTGGCTCCTTGGAAAACACACTAAAATCCATTGGGATGCAGGAAATCTAGGCTTTTATCTAGTCCCCACTGAGCCATTGAGTTGACTTTGGGCCAATCATTCACTCTCAGCCAAACCTACTCCACAGGGTTGTTGTTGTACAGATAAAATGGAGCTATGCAAACCACCCTGAGTTCTTTGCAAGAAGAAAAAAAGCAGATGATGATGATGGATAATGGTAGTAGCAGCAGCAGCTTCGTTTAGTAGGAATTCCTATTTTGAAGAGGGAATCTGTCTTCTGAAGGGAGAAGGAGAACAAATAGTGCCTATTCATGGCAAGCAGTACTCAGGATTGTTCCTTTGCTTTGCAGATCCCTTGTGTGTGACTGAGAAAGACAGTAGAACATAAGGGAAACCAGCATGGGTGGCCAAAAGAAGAGCAAAGACTGCTTGCTGTGAGCGGGCTGGATGACCGATGCCAGCAGTGAAGGAGAGCGAGAAGCATCACCCACCCTAGATGAGTCCGATCCAGACCTATATTATGAGGAAAGTGAAGAGAATGAAGAGGGAGATAATGAGAGCAACTTCTCATGCTCAGAGACCAGCAGCATCCTCTCCGATGACTCTGTCTATCCTGTCTATGAACATGCTGCATCCGACAATGTTGATGGCGCACAGCTCACGCTCTACCAGTGCTGTATCAAGAATGATGCACGGCTCTTACAGGAGAAACTGGGCAGTGGGGTGACCCAGGAGGAGGTCATGGAGCTTGACATCAATGGACGGGTAACTGGAAGCCCACTCACCCTGGCCCTGATGCAGCACATAAGAGCTGGCGACAAAATGGCACCCCAGCAGGACACAAATCCTGCTCCTGGGCATCCTGTGTCCTGTGGGTTCTGCGTGCAATGTCACTGGGCCATGGCAGGCTCTGATAGGGCTGGTGCTGCCCACCATTCATGGCAGAACTGTGGAGTATTCTGTGTGGGAAGAGGGGCAGGCTTGGTTCTGCGATGATTTTCATGGCACTCTGCCCTCCACCACTTCCCATGCATGGTTAGAAACATCATCCTCAGTACGCAGTGGCAGAACACAGCATAACTCTGGAGTCACCAGGGATGCTGCTGGAGCCACTGTTATTGCTGCAATACAGCTGCTTTCTGAAAGGCATCAATGTGCTTTTGACTAGGCTGCTGGGAGACCCTAGGAGTCTGACCACATGATGGCGTTACATTTATGTAACATTTATTATTTACATGTATGATGTAAATAATAAATTTATTAATTTATTATTAATTTATATTAATAAATCATTAAATTATAATAAATTTATAAAATTTATTAATAAAATGTAAATATTATTTACATTTATGATGGTGTTACATGATGGCTTGCAGAGTTCTCCTCTCCATTACATCCTCACAACAAGTCTGTGAGATGGGTTGGGTGGAGAGGTGAAGACTGGGCTTCTTGGCTAAGTGGGGACTAGAACCCAGATCTCCTTTGTCCCAGATCAGCCTTCTTAACCGCTACACCACACTGGCTCTCCCACATGACCTTTGTGTTCAGGGCTAGCCCTGCCACTAAACAAGGTGAGGCAGTTGCCTCTGGTGGCAGGTGCTTGGGGGCAGCCCCTTGGCTGTTCCTCAGGAAGACTCTGGCTGGAGGACGGAGCTGTGCATGTCACGCAATCTGTCCTGTGTCCCCAGTATAACTGTTGTCTCTGTTATTGGAGCACATTAATTATCGCCCTGGTCAGCCTCTGTACATGGACTGGAGAGGAGAATCCATCTTGTCCCTTGCCTCAGGTGGCAAAATGTCTTGGACCAGCCCTGCAGGAGCAATACCTGGCAGATCTCAGGGACCACTAGACTGAGCTACCTGAAGTAGTGGCTGGGAAGGGAATATGTGGGAGTGGATATCATTGCTTTCTTGACAGAATCTTCACACCTGTTCCCTTTTTCTGCACAGAATGGTCTGTTGGTGGCATGTTTCAAGGGCTTTGTAGACATTGTCTCTGCGCTCAGCAAATGCCCCTACCTGGACGTCAATCATCAGGATAACGATGGAAACACGGCACTCATGATAGCTGCTCAGGCAGGTGGGATATATTCCACTTTCATACAAGGGATAGTGGTGGTGTCCAGGAAGGTGGAAGATTCCAACACTGATGGGCATCTGACCAAAATCTGAATGCAGCAAAGGGGTGAATGCTGTTTCCTGTTGTGTGCAAATGGCCTGTGACATTTGGTGGTGACAATTATTATACAGAGTAATATCAAATTTGAAATAATAAACTGGTTTGGTAGAAGAAGCACCACTTAGATACAATAAGATGCCAGCGAGAAGATTAATACAGGTTATCTGCTCTATAATATACTAGCATTGTGTGATACCAGTGTTAATCATTTTTCCAGATCAATACATTCCAGCCTTGCAAGCTAGTTGGTTAAAAAGCGAGGATCATTAGTTACATTTATGCTGATGTCACAAAGGGCAAGATTCAGAATGGCTTGAATAGCCTGCACCTGAAAATAATATTGGTAGCTGAATTTTTCATTTCTCTTCTCAGTATGTGATAGAAATGGGTGGGCAGCTTGTTTGCCATCCAGATACTTTGGCCTACAACTCCCATGATGCTTCACCATTGCCTATGCTGGGATGGAGGGAAATTGTAAATTTCCAAATCATCTGGAAAGCCTTGTGTTGCCTACTTATGTGATAGCTAGATAGTAACCTAATTTATCTATTGTGTGCTGGCATGCGGTTTGCACGTCCCATCTGCCCAATGGCCCTTAGCCAAAGAAGGAGTTCTTGCTGAGGCAGAAGATGCAACTAACTCTGAAGATCTAATGAACTGTATTTAAAAGTGACCACTCTCCTTCAACTGAACTGGCAAAGTATCATTAGTGCTTCTCTGTGCCAGTCTGAAAATATGTTTGTGGGCAAAAGTGGCATTGGTGCCTGCCTAACCTCAACAGGCATGGAGTTCCATCAAGAGGGAGCCAATACACTGAAGATCTACTCCAGTTGGATTGCAAATGGACTGTAGATCTGTGTGAAACAATCAGGAGTACTTCATCCAATGACCTCAGTGACTGAGCAAGCTAATGTGGGAGAAGGCACTCTCAGATCAAGTTCTCTGTTATGATTCTTCTGGCCAGACAGATGTGTGGAACATCACCCATTCCATTCCATTCTATTCCATTCCACGCAATAGATAACGTTGCCTACTACCCAGAGGTCTCATGGTGGCTTACAGAATATGGGAAAGAGCTAACAGGATATATAAAGAGAAAGGCCTGGCTGAGACTGGTTCTTGCTCTGTATGTAGCAATTATGAGTGAGGTCTCTAAAATTCAGAAGCAGATTAATAATAGTACATATTTATACAAAGGTGAAATGAGTGTATTGAAAGGTAGTGGTGGGTATGGTGCTCCTCCATGCCAGTTAAGGCTGCCAAACCGTATCATCACAGTGAATATCAGATTTAATTAACGTACTGAAGTTGCACAGTTCACATTTTAATTCAGGTCTATTTTGGTATTCTGAAGGCACAGAAGTGTCATCCCTTCACACTTCCTTCCCTTCCTATTTATTTATCTTTTTAGTGTTCTGTAATTTATTTCTGTGGAATGTGATTAATAGGCTGCACGACTACACAGTAGAGCCAACAGTCAAAATGGCGGGGGGTGGTTGCCAATTCTATCTCTCCCTGAAGTCCTCCGTGTCCCCCCAAATCTGCAGTGATAGCTTGCAAGGCAGTTTATGAGATGGCACTGGGGCCTGCAGCGGGGAGGAGGAGGAACTGGTGAAAATCAGCACCCTACCCCTTCCTCTAGTAGGGAGGCTCTGCTGGATCCTGGTTCCCTTTGCCAGCGAAGAAGCCCTTCATTTGCACGGAATGAACTCTGGCTGCAACCCATTAGACGCAGAGCAGTATGACCCCTTTGAAATCACCCCCCTCCCAATTGTGTTCAGGCTGAATATATCTTTCCCTCTCCAGGCCTGAGCTCTGGAAAATAGCCAAACATGCAGAAGTTCTATTTGTACAAACAGCTAGTTGTGCACAGCACTGATTGGCTGATGCCCATGTCATTACCAAGTAACCTCCTCCTTATCAGGAAATTTGCATTTCCTTAAAGTTTTCTTTAGAAAAGGAAAAGTGCTTTGAAAAACAATTGAACAGCCCTTCTAAAACTCTATCAAAGTTAAGAATGTCTCCTGAATCAGTGAATCATTGTTTGATTTGCTGATACATATACTTGCCATATACAATGTGAGGTGAAGTGGAAGTTGGACTCACACCATAGAAGAAGAATTTGGGTTTTTTTAAAGCCACATGTTTATTCAAAATTCAGCAGAATGCTGAACAAAGTGAATTCACATTAGTGGGCAATCTCTGTTATTTCAAAGCCTGTATTGAAATAACCAAAGTCACATGTAAAGAATTTATTGAATCAGAGTTGCAATGGCAACACTTCACAGAGGCATGGAACTGGGGAAGTCATGTTTTTGGTTAACTGTGTATAAACTGGAATGTAAGAGTGGTGATTTTCAAAGGGGGAATTCTAATATTTACGGAATGTGAAAATAGTAAATAGAAGATTTATTTCCATTTAAATGGGTCTGGAACAAGTCACAAAGCCCACAAGCATTCGTGTTAAGTACCAGTTTACACAATCAGATTTGGGAACTTAATCTGGACAAGGACTGAGCAGAGGGGCAGAGCACGTGCTTTTCAGGCAGAAGGTCCCAGGCCCACCTCCTGGCATCTCCAGCTAAAGCCAGAAGAGCGCCTGCTGAGAGCCCTGGAGGCTGCTGCTGTCAATCAAGGTCACCAATACTGAGCTGGATATACCAAAGCCAGGACTCAGTCAAAGGCCGCTTCGCAGGTTCCTGCCTTCCTGTTCCTCGTCAAGGGCAAAGAGGTTATGAATGTGTCTGCTCCATTTCTATCCTGCCCTCCCTCTAAAATTTCAGATTTCTATCCTGCCCTCGCTCTAAAATTTCAGATATCCTGAAATCAGGATATCAGATCTAGTTCCCCACCCTCCCCCTCCCCTTTTCTCCTTGCCACAAGACTACGAGTGAGTTTAGATCCAGAGAGTGATTGCACCAGGGGTGTACCGGTGAACTATTTGGTTGCGTGGCAATTTGACCAAGGTCTGCCTGCTCCCAGTTGGTGACGCCAACCATTGCACCACACTGGCTCTCAACTGCCATTAACTGGTTGAATCTCTAGATTTCCATGTGGCTATGCCAGTGATTTGTGTTTGGGTTAGATTGATAGTCTTGATCTGTCTGCTCCCCTCATGTCCAGTGGAAAAAAGCAAATAATCAGCCCCCAAAAGTGGACTTACCAAGACAATTAATTGACCATAGAATCAGAGTGAGTCAGAAGGGGCCTCCCGGGCCATCTAGTCTGGCCCCCGGCTCCAGCCGGCTCCGCTCACGACATGCCCACCATGTGGACGTCCAGCCTATCCTTGAACACCCGCACCGATGGGGCCTCAACGACCTCTCGGGGTCCTGACTGTCAGGAAGTGCTTCCTGGCATTGAACCTTGGTTCCCTGAGCTTTGCTCCGTTGGAGTGCGTCCTGCCTTCCTCTGCAGGGGAGAACAGGTCTCTACCCATCTCCATGTGACATCCCCTCACATTCCTGTATGTCACCAACAGATCCCCTCTGAGTCTCCTCTTCTCTTTCATTAACAATTATAGTCTTTAGTTCAGCCTTTCCCAACCTGATGTTCCCCAGATGTACTGGAGTCCCATTCCCCAAAGGGTACCAGGTTCTGGAAACCTAAATTGGAGGATGCAAAACAACTTTTGCCAGAGGGGGGTTGCATTCCTAACACTGTTTCCTTTCTCCCTTTTGTCATGAAGGACACATCACGATTCTTAACTATCTTCTAAACTACTATCCAGAGCTAGAGATTGAGAAGCGAGACTACAGGGGACTGACAGCACTCATGAAGGCAGCAGTACAAGGAAGAAATGACTGTGTTGCAGCCTTGCTCCTGGCAGGTATATTATTCCTCATTAGCCAGTTCAGGGTCAGGTTTGGGGTTAGGGCTAAGGTTGGATTCAGGGCGGGCTGTTTTTTACACGGGGGTCAAGTTGGGCAGCAACAACAGGCCCTACCAGGGGGCTGTGGTGCCAGGTGCTGCCACTGGTCTGGCACATAAGCAAAGGCAGGTGTGTAACACACCATGGAAAGCCCTTCCTATGTAGACAAATAAGAGCTATACAAATAATAGTATTCTGTTATTTGCCTACTAATTAATCTCAGAAGCAAATACAATTGCCCTGGCTGAGCAAAAATGTTGGGAAGAAAGGGCTGGATTGGTTTAAAAGCAGGAGAAAAGGGTGGTCCAGGTCTGAGTTCTAAAGAGTCAGTGGGCTTTCCACTTCCCTCAACAGTGGGTAACGCAAAACCTCTGGCGAGTGAAGGATGAAAACCAGAACCTCTGGCTGCTCCATTCTTGATGCTTCCCTATAGATGTCATTCTGATTGGCATCTACAGCCATCTGCTGGCCATTAGGATGCACAACAGTCTCTTGCTGCCATCTTTATCATGACCGTGGACTGTGCCATATAATGACGGCCTTTCCACTGCAACCAGCGTGGAAACACAGCAGGCCAGCTAAGGAGAACAGATGGCACATTCTCTCCCTCCTCCAGCAGCCCATTCACTCCCCAGCAGGGAATTCCTGGTTATCCCATGGTCACCAGGCAGGTTGTGAAATATGATGCTCACTTAAGTCAAGTTCACATCACTGTCCTCTGTGTAGCCCAGTGCTTTTCCCATGAATGTGGCAGAGAAATTATCCTGATGGCTTTTGCAACAAGCACCTCTGTTACCGCAATTCTTCCTAAAGTAGGTTTTGTTCAGCCTTTCCCAAACTCTTGCCCTCCAGGTGTCCTAGATTACAACTTCAGGAATTCCTGACCCCTTGGCCAGGCTGACTGGAGTCCAAAGTACCTGGCAAGCACCAGGTTGGAAACACTGGCTTAATCACTGTTGCTGCCAACTTAAAGTAGAGTTTGTATTCAATGATAAACTGGATAGCCAATTTGCCATACCTCGATACTACGCGAGCTAGGGGTGAAACATGGCCACCCACACACAGAAGAACCACATATATTAAAACTTATTGAGCTGTATTTTCCTTGTCTATCAAATTTGAACCCATATCCTGCTATATATAAAGCAGACACAAGTTGTAGTTGTGGAAATATGTTGGTGGATATGGAAGGAAGGAAATAGGATAGGGTGGAATAAGCAGGAGTTTTGGTAACCATACTACGGTGGTACCTTGGCTCACAAATTTAATCCATTCCAGGACTCTGGTTGTGACCCAAATTGGTTGTGAGCCAAGTTAAATTTCCCCATAAGGTTCAATGTAAATAAGGTTAATCCATTCTGTAACTATTTTTTAATCAGAAAAATGTGAAGCAAAGTGACAACAGCAAAGATCGCTGCCATCTCCCCACCACCCCCAGCACGACCGCCGTTGTGCCCGTCATCCCGGTGCGCTGGGTGGGGGGAGAGATGGGCGTGATCACGGGTGCGCTGGCGGGGAGAGATGGGTGCGAACGTGGGCGCGTTTGGAGGGGGGAGATGGGTGCAATCATGCTGGTGGCGGGGAGATGGCCAAGATTGAGCCCGTCTTTCCTGCAGGAGCGCAACTGCGATCTCGGCCATCTCCTCCTTCCCAGCACAATTGTAGCCATCTCCCCACTCAGGGGGGTGGGGAGACGGCTGCGATCATGGTTGCCACCCAGTGCAGCTCTCTCTGCAGTTCTGATGATACAACAACTGGAGCAGAGGTCTGGCCACTTTGGACTCTTCATCCCTCTTGATGTGCACAGTGACTTTTAAATGGTGAGAGAGGAAAAGAGGAAATTCAGCCACCATGATGAGCTGCTGGCCCTCCACCCCCAAAATAGTATGAACTGCTTCACGCCACCCACCTAGGAACTGCTTTCACCAGGTTTTGGGGTGCCCCTGCCACCCATGCATCAGGCAAGTCACAACATGGGGCAGAGGGGATCCATCTGGCCCATTAAAGCCGGTCCACTCTGAGGCTTCTTTGACTACCATTTTGAAACACAGGGCACAAAGGGACCAGAGATGGATTCCTAACAATGTGGGCTTTTTCCTAGGTGCTGACCTGGCTGCTGTGGACCCTGTCAAAGGAAAGACAGCATGGGAATGGGCCGCCCTGACTGGGCGCTTTGAAACCATTGTCCGCATCCGGACCCTTCTGCAGCGCCCTTGCGCTGAGCAGTTTTCTAGCAAGTACTTGCCCCAGTGGCCTGCTTTGCCAGAGTTGGTAGCAGAAGCTGTAAGCACAAAATCCAGAGCCAAACGCCTGTCGGATAAAATCTGCTCCACATTCACAATCAACTTTCCACATGACCCTGAGCCAGATGGTGTGATGGATCACATGGTGCGCATGACCACTTGCTTGGCCAGCCCGTTTGTGGTCACTGCTTGCCAAACTATCTGTCCCGACAGCCCACCGGAAGTAGGCAAGCACAGACTCTCAGTGCCAGAAATCCTCCACGAATACATACCAGACCCTGATGCCAAATCCACAATCAGCGACTCATCCTGCAATGGCCAGCTCACGACGCCAACCCGGGTCCTGGTACCCTACAAATCCCCCAGCACCATTGTGAAGCTCCTGTCCTTTCCCCTGCGCATGCGCCACAACAGCATCTTCCCTGGGGGTGTCCCGAAAATCCAACTCACCAAGTCGCCTGCCCAGTCAGCTCCCAAAGAAAACAAGCCACCCCGCTCCAAGAATAAGAATAAGAACAAGAACATGCTGGAGTTGCCCAAGTGGCGATACAAGGAGCTCAAAGAAGAGAAGAGGAAAGCAGAAGAAGAAGCAGGGAAGCCCAAGAAGGACAAGGGCAAGGGCAAAGGCAAAAAGTCATAACTAGAGGGGATGTGGGGAGAAAAAGAAATCCCTGCTCTGAAGTGGAAACCTCCCCTTGCTTTAGAGAATGTCACTGTTGTCTGTGCATCATTTTTGAACAGCAGAGGAGCTAACTGTATGGGATGTGGCACTGTGGAGGTGGAGCAAAAAGAAAGTATAAGCATGCCAGTCTCCCTCTTGGCTCTGCCAGCTTGGTGCATCAGTAGGAGCTAAAATGACCAAGGCCAGCCTTTGCTCCTATTGCCTTGCCACCAAAGCCTGCAGCTTTAAAATGTTTTAAAGGGGGGAGTAGAAGGGACGGAGAATTGCTAACTCTCACTTGTTCTCTTCAGAGAAATGAGCAAGGACTGTACAGGAGCTGTGCAGCAAGCTCAGTCCCTGCTCATTTCTCTGCCTCTCCTTCCATAAGGGAGCCAAGATGCTCTGTGAGGAGGGAGTACAGAGCAAAGAAGTGGCCGAGGAGGGGTGGGGGTACTGAGCCCATATTGTGCCTGCAGGTTCTCTGCTCAGATCCATCATCCTGCCCTGCCCCACCCCAAAAGGGGATTTGCCCTTGTAGGCAAGAAGCCTCTTGGTGGGGACTTGGAGGTGGCAAATGACATGGGTGGGAAAGGGCTGGCATTCCCTCCCTTTCTTTACACATCTTTAAATTAAATTCTATCTAACCAACATAATTATAAAGGCCATAGGGCACTGTTTCATGCATTAGCATGTAATATATAGTTTACCCCTCAGGTTCATCCTAATCTGTTGTGGCTTCCACAGCTCGATCCTGCAGCTTTTCCCCTGTCAAGGTGCAGACAGACATCCACAGAGCAGTGGGTTTGGCTTGAAAGTGCTCTTGCCACATTTAGTGTGAAGTAGTATAAACTGTTCCTTTTCCCAGCTCAGGCTCTGTGTGTGTGTATGAAAAATGGTGGGCAACAAAAATCAGTTGTTGACTGTATCAGTTGTCTAGCAGCCATGACTTCACCAGGACACCTTCTTCCTCCACCTCCAGAGCAATTTTGTAGCTGTGTTTTGTTTCTTTTATAACAATTTACCATACAAATTATGAAGTGAGGAAGAAGCTAAACTCATGGTGTGGATAACAATCCCCTGTGAGGATTGTTTGGTAGACTTTGATTCTCTTTAAATCTTATTTCTTTCTTTACCCTATTAGCTGGGTCTTAATTATTCTCCCAGTCTTCTCAAAATATGCCCAGATCTTGCACAGTTCTAAAGACATGTATGTGTCAGTACCTCTGAATCACACAGTTAATGCCTGTTTCATTTTATTTTTGTTCGCCTGGGGGCAGGGTTACTGCCAAATCCTGGCTTTCAGAAGGAGCACCGATTTCAGAACACAGCAGCTCCTGGAGGCACAGAAGCTCCACAGACAACAATGTTGTTCAGAAGATTTGAAATGTTGATAAGGTTCCTTCTTCCTCCGAAATGATACATCCGCATAGTAACTTCCCTTCTTGTGGTATGGTACTTTTGGAACCAAGAAGAAGTACTTAAAATTTACTTCAAAGGGGAGAGTACAGGAAAGTCCCACAGTTTGTCATATCTTGGGGAAATATGAACTAAGTAGCCCATCCTAACCCCTGTTAGGCACACAAACTATTCAGAAATGAGCCATAGGCAATTACTAGTAGCAGTGAGGTCTGAACAAGAGAATATCCAAAAAGCCAGTAAGCACTACTATTGTGCAGGAAAAGATCTAGCCTAGAAAGCAAGCCTTTATAGCCCTTCCTGTTAAGAACAGCTAATAGCCAGCCAGGTGCCCTCTTTTAGAGAGGACAGCCCTCTGAAAGACTGTCCTGCTGCATTTGGGTTTAGGGATCCATCAGGTTTGTTGCCCATCACCTGTTAGCCCCTGAACAGAGCACTCAGCGGACAAGCACCCAGGTCACCTGGGCACAGTCCTCACTAGGATAAGATTTCCTGTATTTTACTCGAGTGATTGTGATGGTTTCTAAATTTGTATGTATACACTGGGAAATGCAAATGTTACAACACAAAGCGCTGTTTGCTTTTAGCCACTGTGGGAAACAGGATGCTGAACTGGAGAGGCCTTTTCTTATGTTCCTAGACGTCTCCATTCGGTCTCTTTCCGTCTTCTGGGGAATCAGATGTCCTGTATGAACAGCTTTGAGTATTTCAAAAGAAACAGCTCTGTGCAAGTGTGCATGTACAGCTAAGCTAGCAAAACAGGTAAAGATTGCTAGGTAGGCCCTGCACAATTTGCTCTATGATCCTTAGGTTTTCTGGCCACTTTGCTCCTTGATCTTAGGTTTCCCTAGCATTGTAGAACTAATGTGGAGTGTTGGACCAGAGGAGCCTGGGCCTTCAATTCCCATTTCAGCCTCACCAACAAACTCACTGGGGTAAGCAAAGTCACCATTGCTCACAGAGAACAAAACGTGAGAACTCCCTCTGAATGCTGTCTCTACCACTCCTTCCTGACAGGAAGAGTGGGATATACATACAATAAATTATGCAATTGAAAACACACATTCTTTTCCTTCGGGTTGTTTCCAGATTTAGGGTGCTAAGCCTGGGCTTAAATTCCCACACAGTGGTGCAGTTACATTCTGTGTGACCTGCTTCAGAGGGAGGGAAGGAGGGAGCCAAGCAGAGAGCCAGGGTGTTATTTCATCCACAGTGTTCGTTGTGTGTATACTGGGTATACAAAGGTTAAGGAGAAAGGCTCCATTGATCTTTCCCCCCTTATACTTTTCTTTCATGACTGTGATTTTGGAACACGCTATTTAACTAAAACAGAAGGTGATTGTTATATGCCCATATATTAACAAGTCCTTGGGGAAGTCCTTGTTAGTTGCGATTTTCCCCCCTCTGCTCACATAAGGCACTAACAGGGGATCTATCTTCCTGTCCTGTCCTGTCCTGTCCTGTCCTGTCCTAAACATGTCTTTTCAGCCTTACATTAAAATGCAATTGAAAGGCCATTAAAACAATTCCATGATAACACTTGGAATGGCAATGAGAAAGGGGAGGTGTCTTTAAATGAGCACAGCACCCAACGCTTTGCCCAGGCTGCTTCTGTTTTCATTACAGGTTGATTAGGGCCTCCTTCGCATGAGGGTCCTTCCCTAGGTTTGTACATGTTCCTACATGTTTGTGTTGCACAAACACAAGGTGGCGCTGTGATATGGAGTGGAACTTCAACTTCCAACAAGGCTTCTCTACCAAATTTAGTTATATATTTTATACTTCTATTTATATGCTTGCTGCCTACTACCAAAGTCTTAAATGATGGCAACATCTACGAATGCAAGACTTCATTACCAGATTGAAATACCTGACTTCACTCTAAAAAAAAAGCCACAAAAATGGCTGGAAAATTTGGGAGAGGCCCTGGAGGAAAGACCCTATAATTGTCTGTGAGTGAGAGATCACAAGCAGACAATCAATGCCTCATGTAGAGAAGCCTTGGGTTGACCAGATGCATCTGAGAGCGAAGCTCCTCGGCACGCAGTCGCCATGTGACTGAGGACTGCTTCCTTCCTAAGGTAAATGGTCACTGGGCAGAGATAATTTCACTTAGGGCTTGGTCCTTAACAAAACACCTCCCTGTAGACTGGTCCTGCTCCTGATCCAGTGAGGCAAACATGTTTAACATTTCATACAGTTCGGCCTTGTAACAGTTCATACAGCTGTTCCTGTGTCCACAACTTCTGTGGCCTTTTAACCACAACGTTTAAATCTAACCACCTCTTTTTGTTTTCTACTCCCCATGATGCACATAAGGACATTACTCCTCCGTGCCATTCCCCAGCCAGTGAGTATTTTGAGGGATACTAATATTAGAAGGCAATTATGACTGCAGGGCTGCTTTGGTCTTTGCTCTAGAGCAGCCTTCCTCAACGTGGGACACTGGGAGGCACACGGAGAGAGAGCCTTTCTCCTGTAAGGAACCTAGAGTGACTTATATAATCCTCCTCCTCCTCCCCACTTCATCCCCACAACCACCCTGTGAGGTAGCTGAGGCTGAGAGCCTGCAGCTGGCCCCAAGGCATGGCTCAGCAGGGACTAGAATCCAGGCCTGGCCGGCTCCAGTCCAACATCCTAAGGGGTTGTACTCTGGACACTCGGGACTGAGTTTAAAATGACAGATTACGGTTTCCCTTATTTTCCTCAGTAAAACTGTTCTTGCAGCAATAATTAAATACTTTATAAGCAAACATGATTAATTAAAAATATTTTCTTCTGTAGGAATTTAGAATTGTGTGACTACCAAATTTTCCACAAAGGAATATTTATTGGGCACCAATCAGCGTTTTTTCTCCTGTTTGCCACTTCTGCTTATCCCTAAAACACAGTTCAGTGAGAATGATCGGTGGTGGTATTACATAACGTGCTGAAAAGGCAATGAAACATGAATTCCAAAATTTGTTATATGTGCCAAAGCTGCAACATACTTTTTAACCCACCATTTCCAAACTTTCTTCAAACAACTGTTAACATTGCCATGAAAACTGTGGCAAGCACAATTGTGGAAGCAAATGAAGTCATTATCACAGTTGCCCAAGATATACAAAAGTGCTAGTGTTAAATGTCCACAAAGGATAAAACTACAAGAAACATCCAACCAATTGAAACAGTACAAATATAAATGGGAATGTTTCATACATTCTAGAGGCAATTCTGCCAGTAAAATAGTTGCATCTCATCTTTCTACAAATACATTTGTACAACATACAGGCTGTACATCAGCCACTTCCAGACAAGGCTTTTATCCCACCATTGTCCTGCCTCATTCATGGAAATTTATAGGGGATCCAAATGATTGTCATCTTCAACTGATACAACCCTCCTATGTCTTTCTCTTTTCTCCTTACCATAGAAAAGCCATAAGGGGAAAAATAGCTGTACAGTGCTCTCTAACTGGTAGCAGTAGGACCCCTCTGTCTGGAAACATCCCTGCATAATTCTGTTTATCTCATAGCATATTAATTATCATGATTTACCCTCAAAGAATCCCGGGAATTGTA